AACTCCAACCTTTGCACCCATAGCTGCTGCAAGAACACATGAGCAACCAGATCTACTGTCGCGCCTTGAGGAGAAACTGCAACACCTTACCGAGACCATGCAGAAACTTGTGCTATCTGGCGCTCCCCAACAGGACGAGCAACGACGCAACCGATCCCCTTCAAGACACCCAAGCTCTTCCCAGAGAAGCCATGCACGAGATACACAGGACGGAGTTTGCTGGTACCACCGTCGTTACGGCACGGGTGCTAGCCGCTGCACTCAACCTTGCTCGTTTCCGGGAAACGCTCCGGCCAGTCGTTAACGGCGGCTTACGACATCGGCCCTCCACCCAGCCGCCTGTTTTTCGTAGTCGACCGCGTAAACAACTCGCGCCTGCTAGTCGACACGGGAGCCGAAATCTCTATTGTCCCGGCAAGCCCCGAGGATCGCCGACGTAGCAAGAACACATCGTCGCTGCAGGCAGTGAACAACACTGCCATCGCTACGTACGGCTTCCGCTCGCTGACAATAGACGTCGGACTCAGGCGCCTATTTCGCTGGGTCTTCGTGGTGGCGGATGTTAATTTCGCCATACTCGGAGCAGATTTTCTCAGCCACTTCAACCTGGATGTGAGCGTACGTGACCGTTGCCTCAAGGATAACAACACATCCCTCAAAGTACGTGGTTTGGAGTCAAACATCTGCTCATCTGGCATCTGCGCCTTCCAGCCAGTATCAGCCTACCACCACGTCCTGGCCGAATTCCCCTCGCTCACCAAGCCCCGCAACACGGAACAGCCGGTGAAACATAACGTGACTCACCACATCGTCACCACCGGGCCGCCAGTCACCGCCCGGCCACGACGGCTGTCCAGCAAAAGGCTTCAAGCTGCACGCAGAGAGTTCGAGCATATGCTGCAGCTGGGAATTGTTCGCCCTTCGTCTAGCAACCATTCATCGCCGCTACACATGGTGCCTAAGGACGACGATTGGCGCCAGTGTGGTGATTACAGAGCCTTGAACGCATCGACAACGCCGGACCAGTATTCTCTGCCACACATTCACGATTTCAGCGCGCGGCTGGCAGGTACGAAAATATACAGCAAGATCGACCTTGTAGCGGCATACCGCCAAATCCCCGTCGAACCGCAGGACATACCAAAAACAGCCATAACAACTCCGTTCGGCCTGTTTGAGTTTGTCCGCATGCCCTACGGCTTGAAAAATGCCGCACAGACCTTTCAAAGGTTCATGGATGAGGTCACCCGGGGTCTTCCTTTCATCTTTGTCTACCTGGATGACATTTTGGTGGCCAGCAGAATGCCTGCGGAGCACGAAGAGCACCTCCGCCAGCTCTTTCAGCGTCTGGATGAGCACGGTCTGGTGTTGAAACCTCAAAAGTGCGTGTTTGGAGTAGAGGCGCTCAACCTCCTCGGCCACCACATCACTGCTGAAGGCATTATGCCATTGGAATCGAGGGTGGAATCCGTCAAGAAGTTTTCAGCTTCAACATCTTTTGGCAAGCTGAGGGAGTTCCTCGGGCTCTTAAACTTCCACCGGCGGTTCATTCCGTCTTGTGCTCGAGTGCTCCAGCCATTGACCGACCTGCTGCGCCGAGACGACCAAAAGGCACCAGAATTTTGTTGGTCTGACGAACACCAGAACGCTTTCCAGAAAGCTAAGGACGAGCTAGCCGCGGCTACCCTCCCCATTCATCCACGGCCTGAAGCTCCTACACGCCTCATGGTGGACGCTTCCTCCACATCGGTCGGAGCAGTGCTGCAGCAACAGGAGGGCGCCCAGTGGAAGCCACTGGGCTTCTTTTCGAAACGTCTGAAGCCTGCAGAAGCACGGTACAGCACTTTTGGAAGGGAGATGCTCGCAATCTATTGTTCCATTAGGCATTTCCGCTACTTCCTCGAAGGCAGTGAGTTCTACATCTTGACAGACCACAAGCCCCTCACCTACGTATTCAACAACAACAGTTCCTCCTACTCAGAACGAGAGATCCGTCAGCTCTCATTCATCTCGGAGTTTTCTACAGACATCCGCCACGTTCCCGGGGTCGAAAACGAAGCAGCTGACGCCTTGTCTCGCGTCAACGCTTCCGGCACAGAAGTCCTGGACTTCGAAGCTATGGCCGCAGCTCAGCGGGACGACCCCGAGTTGACAAGACTGAAGGGAGGGGGATCTTCACTCGTGCTTTCGGAGGTTGCACTTCCCTACGTACAGAGCACGATAACCTGCGATACCTCCCAGGCAGCACCACGACCTTTCGTCCCACTGAACTTTCGCCGAGTGGTATTCAACACTTCCCACTCCATCAGCCACCCAGGTGTCCACGCCACCCAGCGGCTGATAACGCAACGCTTCGTTTGGCCCGGAGTCAACGCGGACGTGCGACGATGGGCTCGGACATGTGAATCGTGTCCGCAAGTGAAAGTGGCTCGCCACAATCGGGCTGCACTACAGGAATTTCGGACTCCTGAGTCGCGGTTTGACCACGTTCACCTCGACCTCGTGGGACCACTACCGCCCTGCCAAGGATTTAGGTACCTGCTCACATGCATCGACAGGTACAGCCGGTGGCCCGAAGCTATACTAATTGCGGACATATCAGCTGAGACCGTCGCGCAGGCCTTCATTCAAACATGGGTGTCCCGCTTTGGCTGCCCCGCCCGCATAACAACTGACTGGGGACGGCGATTCCAGAGCAACCTCTTTTCCGCACTTTCAACGCTCCTCGGCACGAAGCTGCAGCATACAACCGCCTACCACCCCGCCAGCAACGGAATGGTTGAGCGCTTCCACCGGCAACTCAAAGCCGCACTGGCAGCGAAACTCAACCGCCAGCACTGGGTGGAGAAGCTCCCGCTCGTTCTTCTTGGCCTACGCTCAACGGTGAAGGAAGACCTCGGCTTCAGCGCAGCGGAAATGGTCTACGGCTCAACAGTGCGCCTCCCGGGAGAATTCTTCTCCGACCAGACACTTTCCGCCCCAACAGCCTCCGATCACATCGAGAAGCTGCGCGCATGGCTCGCGCAACTCAGGCCAACAGCACCTCGCATCGCCCGGAACAGGAAAGTTTTCACTTTTCCTGACATGGACTCTGCTACCCATGTGTTCGTGCGACGCGACGCAACGAAGCCGCCCCTTACTCCGCCATACGATGGCCCATTCAAAGTTTTGGGACGTACTAACAAAACCATCGCAATCGACGTGCGGGGGAAACGAGAAGTCGTCGCCGTTGACCGCGCCAAGCCTGCTCATATTGAGGTTCCCATTCAAGCAGCCTCTCACGTATGATTTCAGTGCTAACCATTGGACTGTGACCTTTCACTATTCAGCCCGTAACTGCTGTCCTTCTTTAAAAGCTCCGCAATCTAGGGGGGGAGCCTTTGTAGCGGAAGCTGCTCAGCACCACCGCATTCTTTTCTATCCCGTCTGCAGCCGGCCGTCAACAGCGCGCCTACTCGCGGCGCCAGCGCCTCCTCCTCCGTGTTCGAAGAACAACGTGTTGTCGGGGCCGGCTCCGGGGATTAGCACCGGCGGCATGCTACGTCTGCTCGCTCGGGGGCTCCCTTTTCCTCTTTCTTGTAGAAGAACGCGGGGGTGCCTCCGTCTCTCCCTCGTCGAGAAGAATTCTCGTCACTCGCACGGAGTGGAGATAAACAGTCTTGCCCTGCAACTCCAAACCAGCTTCACGTCTCCTTTCTCGCTGCCTCCGGCAGCCGACAATCCCGGCCGCTACACACTAACAACATCCGAAAAAAATGTTATGTGCTGTAGTCAGAGATCAATTCAGGGGGTGGTGAATTGCCTGCCGTATGGTACTGAGGATAGAATACTACACGAACTTTGTCAGAGTGAGCCCTATGCTCTTATGTTCGACGAAACAACCGACTACACAACTGTAGAGCAGTAGCTGATCACCCACTACAGGTGCCCTTTTAGTGGGGAATTAAAAGTATAATTATCGGCCATGACTGATCTACTGGGCAACCACAAACCACACCAAGGTGACGAAATAGCAGAAGCCCTCAATACTACCACCAATGCATGGGCCAATAAAATTTTATGACTAAAAAGGGTGAACTCTTTGGCGCGTTTCGCAGAATGGGAACTGACGACGTACCTGTTATGACAGAAAAAAAAAAAGGAGCCGCCGTGAACTTATTGATTGACTACCAAAAAGGTTCAACCGCTCCCCAGAACTTTGAGGCTGTAGGTGTTCACTGAGCGGCACACAAGCTCAACCTAGCAGCATGCCAAGCAACCAAATCAGTTCCACACACACACAAAAAAATTTAGGCAAGTTTTGCAGCACGTGTACAACTTTTATGTATCTTTTTCAGTTTTAACTGCTATGCGGAGTGCTGTCCAGAACATTTTGGAATTGGAGCAACGTGAAGAGAAACTCATTGAGCCATCTGCCACATGGTGGCCAAGTGTTGGTGGGTCGTGCACCGCCGTTCGCAATAGTCCCTCGGCCATCATCATCAGTCTCTCTAGGGAGGCAGAACAAGACAGTGACATCAGGGCAGCGGAGCTACTGAAGTTCGTGATGAATGCAAAGTTTGTCAGGACTTTTCCCAGCAATTGACAAGCCCTCCAGAACTCTTCAAACATCATCGCTTTAGGTGTACTTTATACAAAAACTCATCGAATCATGCACCAGGGCCATTGCCCTGAATGCTGTCAGTCACATGCTGGTGTACGACGACATGGGAGCGTGCACCGGCGGCGGTGCCGAAGGTGCAGAAGCCGGTGAAAAGGTGAGCGACGAAGACGCTCGCAAGTTCGTGGACAATACCTACAGCTTGCACCTTGCTCCGGGCGAGAACAAGGTTCCCATCTCGCTCTTCTTTGACGAGTACACTGAAGAGTATGCCTTTCCCACCATATACCTCGGCGTACCTCGCACGATAACTGGCCCTCGTCCGACGCCGTTCGCAATTGCCAGCAGCGAGATCGGACGTACCGACTGACGTGGGGTGACGCCGGAACATGTGCTGTACATGGCCGCCAAAGTCATGCGCTTCAACGTGTCCGAAAAGACGCTGACGTCCGTCGACAATCTCGAACTGCGGCCCGGCTCTCAACAACACACCAACGGTGAGCACTGCGTCGCTAGCGTCTGCGGAGTCGACGTCATGACGATGTACCTCGCGCCCAACCTATCACGTGCCGCCGTGGTGAACTACGTCAATGAAGCTGTGGAAGAATACCTGAAACAACGACCGCAACAACGACCCTTCGTGATAGTTGGCAACTTCAACATCAACGACATCAAGGACGATTGGGTGGTCGACTACATAGAGTCGCGGCACTCGCTGAAACTGAGCAACGCACGACGGCAAACATCATCCGACCACGGTTCGCGGGACGTGCATCGACCACATCTTTGCAAATTTCGACCTTCGACCGCTGCAACCAGACCCACTCACCCTTCACTTTACGGACCATAAAGCCATCTTGCTCAAAATACCCAAAGTGTCTCATCAATAAACATCGTCTTTTGCAGCATACGTGCGTGCATGTTCACTCGTGTTCAGTCATAACACACACGCATGTCGCAAATTAAAAACCACATTTATCCCAGCTCAACATATATGCTCCGCATGCTAACCAGTGTTCCCACTCGGGAAACTGCGGTAATTTTTTTTTATGTCAGTCATTAGTCATGACATACAGGTAACCATCACAGAGGAATCTGAACAATGGCTCGAGAGCACATCTGTTAAGACGCTACTGGAAAATAACCAGGACAGGTTTCAGGAACACCCTATAATGGCTATTTTACTGTGTTTGCCCACAGCAGATACAAACAATGGTGGCAATAGAATTAAAATTGTCAATGCACTGGAAAGGCTGTGCCCAACACCTGGCAACCCATATACTCAGGACATGCTTACAGAGTGAAGTGTTTTTGCCAACTTTGTATTTGAATGTGAACGTTTACAAAAGCTGACAGCTGCACACTTGTTTTTTTTTTTTGTGTGAAATGATGTGAAAGACCCGTTTCCTGTCATGGCAAATATAGCAGCTTGTATTCCCACCGCACAGAGACTGTGAGTGGCTTTTCAGCTCTGAAGCTGATTACAACACAAAGAAACTGCTTGAAAGAAAGATCACTAGACTGCCTTATTTGTATTTCATGCAAAGGACCCGATGTTTACACCTACCCATTTGACGAGGTTGTTGAAAAGTAGGCGAAGAGCAAGAATCGAAGACTTGAAGGTCTAGTATGTCTAGGACGGTAGAAATATAGTGCCTTCTCATATTTTGTAATTGAGTTTGAACATCTGCTGTTGCATTTTATTATTCAGTTCATGCTCACATGACATTCCTTCTGCTTAAACCTCAGCTTGTGTTTTGATTATTTGGTTAATGCTGATGTGGAATGCCCTTCTTCCCCTCCCCGTCTCAAAAATTTTGAAACCCAGCTCTTCTTTGTGCGCTAGAAAACATTGAAATAGTAAGTAGTGTGAAAATACTGAGTTACCTTTATGAAAAATATGTTTTGGGACCGACACGTCAAATGAATTTTAGGCAAGCTATCTTGTGTGGACGGTATGATGGCATGCCACAGGCGTATATTGCCTTTCAAAGTGAAACTTCTTTGCAAAACACTTTTTAAGGTTACATTATTGTTTTTTGGTGTGGGAGAAGCGGATAATAATAATAATTGTAAGGGTGTAACACACCAAAACAATATTATAAGAGACGCCGTAGTGGAGGGCTCCGGAAATTTCTACCACTTCGGGTTCTTTAACGTGCACCTGAATCTAAGCACACGGGTCTCGAGCATTTTCACCTCCATGTAAAATGCGGCCGCCGTGGCCGGGTTTCCATCCCGCGACCTGCGCCTCAGCAGCCGAGTGCCTTAGCAACTAGAACACCGTGGCGGGGAGCCCGCAAGGAAGGCGTTAAAGTCCCGAGAAGCTGACAAGATGCTCGCTGCTTTTGAGACCTGCTGGTGCGTTACGAGAAGCAGGATCGGCACACTGTACAAGCCTGCTGGTCAACTTCAGAGCCAGAACTTGAGCAGCGCAAGAGCACTGCGCGTCAGTGAACGAGAGCAAAGCCCAAGGTCTTTATTGAGCGACCGACTAAACCAAAAGGCGCTTCAGGGTGCTACTTCAGGAGTAGAGCAGTAGAGATAGTTAACGTGATTGAGTCAGGCAATGACAGGGGTGATCTGATGGAGCACCTAGAGCATGAACAAATTTCGTCATAACTGCATTGCCGACAAGACTGACGCAATTCTAACTGACAAGGTCATCGAGCGACTCATTACTACAGACTGAGGCCTGCTTTGTGCTCTCTCGAGGCCCTTATTTAAAACTGAATGCATTTGCCTTCAAGCACACACAGCGAGATGGTGGATCCAGATAGAAATGTGGTGGAAGGCAACAAGTGTTAATGAATCAGATCGCACTCGCAAGTTAATGCTTGACATTGAAGCACGTACCTCATCAGATGGGCCAGAAAGCCGAAACCAGCAAACCGGTATCAGATGGTACGTGAAAGAGTTGAAAGCAGTTCTTGTACTCAATGCCCTCTAACCAGCCAATGATTCCTGCCTGGTTCAAGAACGTGGATGCTCTTATTGTGGCATTGAGCATACCTGAGGAAATTCAAGGCACGATCATATTACCATTCCTAAGTAAAAAGATGCGTATATTCGTTGCAAATCAATAAAGCTGGAGTAATGCGTACTCGGATCTAGAATCGAGAGTGCTAAAGGAGCTGTGGTATGACGCCTAAAAATCTTAAGACTTTATAGACCCCAGAAAAGGTTTGTACATTCACTTAATGTAGCATATATTCCCACACTTCAGATGAATGAGATCTCACATCTGAATGGGATTTCACATCTTTTAGATGTGCAAGTGGTGGGCACACGCATCGATCTAATGGAGGCCCACCACCGCAAATGTGATAAATATAGGATACCAGTAAGTTCCAGATCTCTCCGAAACCTACCGTATCAAGTGTCACCCTAACCTACAGGGGAACATAACAGGTGAGTCCGTCCGGACACTGCTGGAAGTTGGCCTTAGCAGAAACGATTTCAAGATGATGACAATCCAATGTTTGCAAGGAGGCCTGGCGTCTTTCAGGATGCATCAGCAGACTACTGCAGTCATTCGTTGGAGGGGAGCTTCCAAGGTTGACCTGGTCCCAACACCACAAGTAGTGGTGTTTTCATGGTCCCTCTGCCCTTCAGAGGATAAGATTTTTTTCACCATTTTAAAGCAAATTTCTCCAATTTTAAGCATATTTAATCTGTGTGTTTAGTCTTTAAGATGAACAGTTATGCAGAGTTCAAACGAGAAGTAAAAATGAACTTAGAAGTTTCTTCAAGACTTATATAGAAAAAGCCCTCATATGAATCTCGTTGCACAGACCAGTGAAAAGCTCTCTTCTAGCTTTCGATGTGACTGTGCCGCACCTTCCGCGCAGGCCTGGTGTTTTTTTTTTTTTTATGAATTAGTCATCGAAATAACTGATTGATTTGTGGGGTTTAACGTCCCAAAACCACCATATGATTATGAGAGACGCTGTAGTGGAGGGCTCCGGAAATTTGGACCACCTGGGGTTCTTTAACATGCACCCAAATCTGAGTACACGGGCCTACAACATTTCCGCCTCCATCGGAAATGCAGCCGCCACAGCCGGGATCGAAATAACTATAACCTCTGCACGAACACTACATGAACATTTTATCAATACATGCTCTCATAACAAACAAATGTAAAGTCTTGCATTTTTAATTTTTCGCCACTGATGTGACTATTCATTTATATTATGAAATTGTTCTAATATTTTTTGACAACTTGTACTTCTAAATATGTGCTCTGCATAATTTTCATTTCTGTTTTTTTTTTTCTTTCTGAACACGCTGATATGGCTGCCTGCATTGGAGAAGTGGCTGCAAGACTGTTAAACTGCTTGAGCTTCGAGCAATCTTTTTCAGCAGTCTCTTCCATTGTTGATGAAAATAAAGTCATTATTATTAACAATGCAAATCAAAATAATCTGCAATACTACGTACAAGGCAATGCATATGTTCTACGTTTTGGAAAACTAACCCGAAATTCTCTTAGTTGAAGACACATATAAAGCAAACATCTTAGGCTATGTTCTCTACTCAATACTATAAGTTCATGATAGTAGTAAAGGTACAGTCGTGAGCGATATGAAGGCAATTCCACAAGCGTTCAGCTGCCCAACGTCCCGAGGGCCTAGCGACACGTTTTAGAACTGTGAAAATCGAGATCACCCTACAACGAACTCTTAAAGAAGCCATGACATGGTCACCCTTCTATTTGTAGTTTTCAGCAAAAACTACGAGCATAGGGTGTATTATGCTTACCGAGATATGAAAAGTGCACCCTAAAAGAACATTTCAGTGAAAAACAAGTCATAGAAGTCGCCGGCCGTAAGCTCGGCCCACCGCCGGCAACCTATATTTTGCCATGGCACGTGTGACGTCATGAGCTGGAAGGAGCGGAGCTGTAGTATTTCAATCAATTTTAGCCTCTAGAAATTGTCCAATTGAATACGACACTCTTCCTGGCTTGTACTCATCTCACTTTATATACCAGGTGCTCATCAGATTCCTTGTGGCCATGGCGAATTTCATCGCGACTATGCCTCTCGGTGAAGATGAGCCATGGCATATGCTGAAACGTGCTTCTGACAAATCTGCACCTAGTTTCAACAAGTTCAGCCGCTACAAATCGTCCAATTGAACACGACACTTTTCATGGCTTGTACTTATCTCACTTTATGTACCAGGTACTCATCAGATTCCTCGTGGTCACGGCGAATTTCGTCGCGATGTGACGTCCCTGCAAACACGGACTGAACCCCGGTCCTTTCAAGATGTTTTAGCTCGTTTCTTAAACCCACACAAAAAAAGGAAAAGAAAACCTTCGGTGTAACGAATGGGCATTCCGGAGTGGAGTACCTGGAAAGATTATTTCTACTATTCTCGCGGGCTCCCCCGCGCAAACACGAGGACCGGGCGGCGCCTTGTCGTCTACAGACAGTGTGACAGTGTATGGTGGAGATAATCCGCGTGCACCCTTCAGATTTGTAACATGGGGGAGCAGCCGAGCACCTTTTGTTGGTTCAGGGAACACGACCTTGCCGCAGTGCCTGTGCCGGGTCCAGTCTGACTTTCCGTCAGCCTCCGTGGCTCCAGGGCTCATTACTGCGTTCTGCGCGGATGGCCACCCGCGGCATTGAATGACGAAGAAGCGGCGGCTACGGAGAATTTCGCGGGAGACACCGAGCTGCATGGAGACGTCGGGACTATCTGGACATCGGCTCATAAAGTACCAGAAACCGGGACAATTGGTTCGGCCGAAAACATTTCGGCACAACATTGCAAACTCCGGAAGTTGGCCATTATAGACGACGCACTTTGTCGGAAGCATCCAGACCGTTGTTCGCCCGTAATTAAAGTGTCTTCGGATGGCTCGCCCATCTCTCTCCATGAGGCTTGAGTTTGTACATTGTTACTTGCTCGGCTTTGGGAGAGGGTTTTCTACTGGTGTGGGCCGCGGGAGCGGCCGTCGAAGATGACACACATTGACTGACAGAGAAATATGCCGCGTCGATTGGTTTGGTGACCCAATAGGGCGGAGTCGGGTCCTACAAAAAGGGACTACGAGACGAGGCGAAGGGGGTCAGAGAGACGAAGCGATGAGCTCGAGATGGTAGAGAAGCTAAGATGGAAATCACTGAGAGGCACGACGTAGGCGACGAGGACGAAGACGATGAAGACGCTGACGAATTGGACAGATCAGACCATGACGCCAAGAACCAACCTTCGGCCCCGATTCGAGCAGCCAACTCCGAGGCCCCAACTACATGGACATTCTGTGAAACGAACTTCACCTCCCTTACTTAAACGAGCATGCGGGAAAAAATGCGGCATATTGAGACATTGCATGGTTTTAATAATTGATAACTTCATCATTTGTGTCGTCGTGTGTTTTTTTTTTATGCATACCCTTGTATTGTTACAGTTACTTTCTTTATGTGCCTGCCCTGTGTTGAATGTCGCAAATGTCCAAATCATGTGTTATAATTTTGTGTAGTGGTTGATGTACGCGGTACATGATGTTTTAAGTTAATAAATTAAATAAATCAGTAAACAAGAAAAGGTCATAGCGTCTCTTACTTCCCAGCTTCAGCACGAATCCCTGTATGTGAGAAGTGTTTGAGACACGTATCCAAGAGGAAACCGGATAAAAAGGGGTTGAGTGGTCTTCCCTATCTATGGTAATCGGTGGCATAGCGGGAGACGTCTCAAGTGGTGGCAGCCGTGGGATTACTGCAGGGGCAACAGTGCGAGATTTCACTCTCGTACTAGGGAAGGAGAGACGGCAAAATGAACGAGCAGGCTACCAAGATGACCGACAGAGACGACCCACTAGAAATGAGCGCGTTAATGTTAGCGGACACGGTTCCGTCATTTACGGGAGGTGATGCCGGTCCGGATGTTGGGGTCTTCTTGAAAATTTTGGAGCAGGTTGGTCGCTTGGGTGGATGGCGGGATACAGTCAAATCTCGTTACTACGAACACCGAATTAACGATTTTTTCAGATTTACGAATATTTTGAAAATCCCCGCCAGATTGCCTATATATTTTCAATGTAAAAATATTTCAGGACAACGAATTTCAGTACAATGTATATTTCAGAATAATGTGCATAATTTATTTGCTCGCCTATACGCAAGGAACATCAGTATTACGAATTGAGTTAAAAGTAGCAGCACCGCAACTCTCACGTAGCGCAGTAGCCGCTGTTTTTTTCCATGCACGGAAGCTATCATCATCACCGTGTTGAAAGCCGACTGCTAGCGCCACCACACGGGTATGGTTTGATGTGTGGCAGCTTAGCAGGCCTAGCCTCGTTGCCTCATCCTTCGTCGTGCGTCCTTCGTGCCACGCACGTCTGAAGTCTGCTGCGTTTTGTTGTCGTTCTTTTTTTCTTAGCTTTCTGCAAAGTGTTTGGAGACCCGACGATGAATGCACCAGGTGACAGCGCTAAGAAGAGGCGAAAGCAGTTTTCCCTGCAAGAAAAGATGGATTTGTTGAGGGAACTTGACTCGGGCAAAAAGCAAATCGACCTCTGCAGGGAGCGTGGCATTGCCCCGTCAACTGTCGCGACCATTTGGAAAGACAGAGAAAATATTCTGAAGCTTCACCGAGAGTCACAACTTGCACCTACGAGGAAACGGTTGCACCTGGGAAATTTTCAAGATGTCGACCAAGCTGTGCTGACCTGGTTTAAAGATGCCCGGCTGCAAAACATCCCAGTGTCTGGCCCAATGCTTCAAGAAAAAGCCCGCGAGTTCGCCGACGCACTTGAAGTAACTGGGTTTGATGCAAGTGCGGGTTGGCTTTTTCGTTTTCGCCAGAGAAACGGCATAACCTGGCAGGTAGTCTCAGGTGAAGAAAAGGCTGCGGACAAAGAGGGTGCAGATTCCTGGCGGAACGATCGTTTCCGAGAGGTGGCAGAGTCGTACTCCGAAGACGACATTTTCAACGCGGACGAGACCGCGTGCTTCTACCAGCTCTTGCCAGATCGGACGATGCACTTCAAAGGTCAGCAGTGTAAACGAGGCAAGAAGTCGCATCTCCGCGTGACGGTCTTGCTCTGCTGCAATGCGTCGGGCACGAAGAAAATCAAGCCGCTTGTCATTGGAAAATACGCAAAGCCTCGTTGCATGAAGAACGTCGTATCCCTACCGTTCGACTATTGTGCGAACAAGCGTGCCTGGATGACAAGAGAATTGTTTTCGCAATGGCTCATCAAACTCGACGAACAAATGAGGAAAGAAAATAGAAAAATTCTTTTGATCGTCGACAACTGTTCAGCCCACATTGTGAATGTTCGCTTCACGCACGTTTGCCTGGAGTTTCTGCCACCGAACAACACGTCGTTGCTGCAACCACTAGATCAAGGCATCATAAAGAGTGTTAAGGCGGAATTTCGCAAGCACCTTGTGCAGCGTTTTATCATAAATCTCCGCTTAAAGCAGCCGACATCAGTCAACGTTCGTCAAGCGGCGGAAATGCTGACGGGAGCTTGGTGGAACGTGAATACGTCAACAATCCGTAACTGTTGGCGAAAAGCAGGCCTAATCAAGGCGCCTGCCCAAGTTGAAGACAACCTGGAAGAGGACCACAGCAACCCAGGAGACCTGTGGACTGAGGTTGAGGAACTGTTGCCCGACGTCTCTTCCTTCGACGACTACGTGGAGAGCGGCAGCGCAGCACTAACGTCGGCGGACATGACAACCGAGGAGATTGTCAACAGCGTTCGCAACGTCTCCAGTGACGACGACGACGACCCGAAGGAAGAGGACTCTGTATCACCGAACACTGAAGAGGATGAGACCATATCGCACTCGGATGTTTTAGTGCACATGAACGAAGTCCGCGCCTACATTGGCCGGTGCAGTGATGTGCCCGATGAGGTGCTACGTAAGGTGGAAGGTGTTGAGGCGTACTTAATCAGCCGTTTGTGCTCCACGCGTCAGAAGAAAATCACAGATTTCTTCAAATAAAGAACGTTTGAAGTGTGTGTATATTTTTTTTTTGTGTGTGTTTGCGTGTCGGCGCACACGGCAACTGCCAAGGTACGTCATTTTCGCTCCTAGGTTTGACCTCTTGCTTACAATCGAAGTTTTTCATTACAACGATATTTCAAAACAACGTACGAGTTGCGGCGGTCCCACTTAATTCGTTATGTCGAGATTTGACTGTAGTGAGCTGGTTTGCATAGCACGATGCAAGATGGTAGGCGCGGCGTACGATTTTGCCTGGTGGGATGATAACGTCGCTGCGGCTGCAGCTATTTCAGAGTTCAAATATTTGGCCCTCAAGAGGTTTGATACGGAGCCACTTATCTCTAAAACGGAACGATTTTTAAACGCGAGGCAGGGGGCAGATGAGGAGGTGCGGTCATTTGCGAGTCGCTTGCGCATGCTCGGGACTGCCACCCTGGCGAGCTTTGATAGTCGGGATCCGGTGAAAGCTTCACTGCGCCGCGAAATTCTATCCGAACAATTGATTAGGCCTGAAGGATCCGGTCCGCAGATTTGTTCTCTCTCTCGAGACCCGAAAACGTTTGACGAGGCCATTGCCATAGCGGTCAAGGAAGAACAGAATGAGAAGGTGTCGAGGAGCCATTCGTTACCCGTTTGATACATAAAAGAGAACACGGATGTTCATGAGATGCATAGCCGCCTTGACCGCCTCGAAAAACTTGTGGAGAGCTTGGCAGTACGCAATAAGGTGAAACAAAATTGGCAGGAATTCCCTAAGCAGCTCCCTTATCCCGGCGGGTGCTATAACTGTGGCAGAATTGGTCACTTTTGGCGAGAATGCTATCGGTACCAGCGACGAAAGTGGAATTCGACAGACGGCAGCCGCATTCACAATGACAAGGAGATGGTGACAAAATTCGAATCTGGAAACTTAGACGCAACTCCTCCTCATGACGTTGACGCGCAGAGGTCAATCGCAGTCGTAAATATTCGCGAGGAAACAAGCTCTGTAAAAATTAGTCGCGATTCACCGTGTGCGGAAGTGGTTAATGTAATTTCTGTGATCGAGGAGGATGTTCCGCCATTGAGCGAGTGTGTGTTTGGGGGGAACGCTGGCACGCTGGTGCCACTAAGTGAAACAAATGCTGTCGATGTCGAGGTTGCTAGAGCGGATACAGACGGTTTAGCTGCGGTTTCTATCTCGAAGGTCCCACGAGACGATGAGGCATTACCAGTAGGAGTAGCAGATATGGAGTTGAACGAGAATGGGTTTTCTGAGGATGCAGTTGTCGGAGTCTTGGTCGACACGGCGGTAGACCGAACGTTAGAGAGAGTAAGTGAGATTAAGGAATGTCCAGATCGCAATGGGGTGGTTTTTGTGGGGCCAAAGGGGAACTGCAGCACACTCGATGTACACCGCACCAAACCCGGGCATACGCAGCAGTGATCTTGTCAGATAGCTTCGCACATGCCCCACTCCGCGACTGAGTCGAGTAGGTTGAAGTACGGACCATCTAACGAGGGTCCGGGACTCGAAGTCGGGGAAGAAGTCTGCATACAGGTAGACGGTGAGCGCTCGGGGATCGGCTAGGGTCGTAAGAGTCCGCAATGTTGTGGGCCATTTTATGTCCTATAATTACTACTCGGTCATTGTGCATGTGTGGAATGAAAGCTTATTGAAATGTGTGTATCCTCTGTTCGGTTGTGCCGAGAATGGACAGTGCAGGCGAAGTGTGTGACGTGCTCGCATGGTAGTGAACCCTCCGCACACATGACTGAACGCTGCGTGCCTAACCATCCGACGAGCAGCTGTAGCCAGTGTGCGTTTTGTCCACGCGTCATCTACGAGTTTCTGCACGAATTCTGAAGGTTTCAAGTGTGTTGTGCGCGGTAGAAATACGGAATCAAACTGCTTCGTGGTGGGTGATGATTCAGCGACAATCACAGATTGGTTCCTCTCCGTGACACGCTATACCGCCAGGGCTGAATCACAAGTGTGCTGTGTTCGCGTATCGTATTCCTAAGACTGCCGCAATGTCTCAATCTCGCTGCGCAACCCGAAGGCGCTATCCTCCCGCATTTCTCGTGTTTGAATTTCCCCGCTGGGAAAATTCTTCTGCAAGATGAAGGGATTGTGACGTCCCCGCAAACACGGACTGAACCCCGGTCCTTTAAAGATGTTTTCGCTCGTTTCTTAAACCCACACAAAAAAAAAAAGCAAAAGAAAACCTTCGGTGTAACAAATGGGCATTCCAGAGTGGAGTACCTGGAAAGATTATTTCTACTATTGTCCCGGACGCCCCCGCGCAAACACGAGGACCAGGCGGCGCCTTGTCGTCTACAGACAGTGTGACAGTGTACGGTAGAGATAATCGGCGTGCACCCTTCATATTTGTGGCATGGGGGAGCAGCCGAGCACCTTTTGTTGGTTCGGGGAATGCAACCTTGCCGCAGCGCCTCTGCCGGGTCCAGTCGGACTTTCCGTTAGCCTCCGTGGCTCCAGGGCTCATTACTGCGTTCTGCGCGGATGGCCACCCGCGGCATTGAATGACGAAGAAGCGGCGGCTACGGAGAATTTCGCTGGAAACAGCAAGCTGCATGGAGACGTCAGGACTCGTTCTGGACATCGGCTCATCAAGTACCAGAAACCGGGACAATTGGTTCGGCCGAAAACATTTGGCACAACATTGCAAACTCCGGACGTTGGCTATTATAGACGACGCACTTTGTCGGAAGCATCCAGACCATTGTTCGCCCGTAATTAAAGTGTCTTCGGACGGCTCGCCCATCTCTCTCCGTGAGGCTTGAGTTTGTACATTGTTATTTGCTCGCCTTTGTTTGGGAGAGGGTTTTCTACTGGTGTGGGCCACGGGAGCGGCCGTCGAAGATGACACACACCGACTGACAGAGAAATATGCCGCGTCAATGGTGGCGATTGGTTTGGTGCCCCGGTAGGGCGGAGTCGGGTCCTACAAAAAGGGACTACGAGACGAGGCGAAGGGGGTCAGAGAGACGATGCGATGAGCTCGAGATGGTAGAGAAGCTAAGATGGAAATCACTGAGAGGCACGACGTAGGCAACGATGACGAAGACGATGAAAACGCTGACGAATTGGACAGATCAGACCTCGACGCCAAGAACCAACCTTCGGCCCCGATTGGAGCAGCCAACTCTGAGGCCCCGACTACATGGACATTCTGTGAGACGAACTTCACCTCCTTACTTAAACGAGCTTTGCGGGCAAAGATGCGGCATATTGAGACATTGCGTGGTTTTAATAATTGATAACTTCATCATTTGTGTCGTCGTGTGTTTTTTTTATGCATACCCTTGTATTGTTACAGTTACTTTCTTTATGTGCCTGCCCTGTGTCAAATGTCGCAAATGTCCAAATCATGTGTTATAATTTTGTTTAGTGGTTGATGTACGTGGTATACGATGTTTTAAGTTAATAATAAATTAAATGAATCAGTAAACAAGAACAGGTCGTAGCATCTCTTACTTCTTGTCCCCAGCACGAATCCCTGTATGTGAGAAGTGTTTGAGACACGTACCCAAGAGGGAACCGGATAAAAAGGGGTTGAGTGGTCTTCCCTCTCTTTGGTACTCGGTGGCGTAGCGGGGGACGTCTCAGCAACTACATCTCTCGGTGAAGATGAGCCGTGGCATATGCTGAAACGTGCTACGCTGAATTCATCTAGTCATCGCCTTGAGCAGCACGTGATTTCGACAAATATGCACACCAAGCAATTGAGGAATACATAGATAAGCATCGTAAGAAGGTTCCGCTTCCACTCCACCGCAGCTATAATAGCGGCCCACCCGACCTGCCATTGGAACATGACACTCTTCGTGGCCTATACTCATCTTGCTTTATGTGCCAGGTTGGTTATGTGAAACACTCGCTTTGTTACTAGTCGAATAATGTCCCAGTTATCAGCGTCATGCCCCATCGACAAGCATTTATTATGTCATTGTGTTGATTGCTTTGGTGTGGGTATTTTGTCTGGGTCGGTATACGTGGCTTTTGACGAGTGTGACCTGTTTTACGATGAGTTACTACTTCTGTGCGGGGATGTGGAATCAAAGCCTGGTCCTATCTGAAGCTGAACATTTTGAAAAATGCCGTACTGCTAGCCACGGGCCATCACACAACTAAGATCCAGTATCCCCGTTTGCTGCCAGCCAGCTGCGTCTCACCAGATAGAGAACGAAAGAGATGAGTATTGCACATTACGCACACAGCGCAGGGTTTCACATGCGGTTGCTCAACGATGCTGCCTTCAAGAATTGGAAGGGCTCGTGTGGCTTTCTGGGCTGATGTACTTAAAAAAACACACCCAACATCTCCCAAGTAAAGGGACGATCATAGTCTCCACCAGGAGCACTGGAGAATCCGGCAATGAGTGGTCAGATATTCAGTCTAGGATGGTGGCTCTAGGCTACATAGAAGAATTCAACCCAGATTTCTCAGATAATCGAGTGGCCGGTCAAGCACACTTAAGTTATTTCTCGAGGCAAATGGCATCACTGAACCCACAAGAAAGTGCGCCATCTTTAGCAGCATTTGCAGTGCAGCATTGTTTGACTTGGCAGGGTTGGCTCTTGTGCCATCTGTTGCCAATACCAGAATGTTCGTGAAAATTGTGGCCATCCCAAAGGATCATTTTACACCTCAACAGTCAGACATTTAGTGCCAGAAAGCATTTTACAAAAGGATAGATAGATAGATATGTGGGGTTTAACGTCCCAAAACCACCATATGATTATGAGAGACGCCGTAGTGGAGGGCTCCGGAAATTTAGACCACCTGGGGTTCTTTAACATGCACCCAAATCTCATTTTACAAAAGGAACCAGGGTTAGAGTCTGCGAGCGTCTTCATGACTGGACTCAGTTTGTTGGGTCAAAACCAACTTCGCTAGCCTAGAGGAGATGCTCCACAATCCGTTAGTGTGCGGGCTACTGAACGACAAGGACATACATGCTAAGGTATACAATTTTTCTCTACAGTGCTCGACTTTCAGCCCAATAGATCACTCTGACAGCACAGAAATGCTCGGCATGCTTTCCACTGAATGTGGGTGAGGTGCCTAGTTGACATTTTCCCCTACCCCAAGAAAACCTCAAAGAGGAAGGTCTGGCTGAAAGCTTATCAGTTTCTCCACAATGTAAAAGCCAAGAAAATTTTAAAGCATTTCAGCACCAGGTGGCTTTCTCTCTTGTGGACCAGTGGCAGCCACTGGTTAAATTCTTTCATAGTTAAGGAAGGCCCGCTCGGGCAGATTTCCAAGTTACCCAGCAAAACCTTGTAACCTTTGCATTGGCCTTCAAAAACATGCAAAGTAAGCACAGCACAGTCATCAGAGCAAAAGACCAAGTACGGGCACAAATGTCCCTATGTCACATAGAACTCCCTAGCGAATCTAGAACTGTCGAGGCCAAACAGAGAAGAAAGGCTATTCATGTTTTTTTGTTCTCAAACATAAATGAAGAATACTACGAGTTCTTGCTGTCGATAATTCCAGAATTTGAAAAAGTGAATGTGTTTCTGAGCTCTGAAACCCCTCATGTGCACCTGCTCTGCGAAGTGCTTAGTAGCTTGCTAAGAAAGATGATGTGTTTTGGCAAACCCTCAGCTATAAAAAAAAAGTGGATGTGCCAGCAGACATTCACTACAAATATTCTGTCAGCCAAAGAGATGAACATATTGCGTTTAGAAGTCTGACCACACACACACGGCAAAGTTTGAAAAAAGAAGCAACGGAAGAATTTTTTTTAATACATACAAGATTGTTTTTTGTCACAGCAATACAGTATATGATCCTGAAGACTCTGCTGAAGTGCGAGCTGTTGAAGAGTGCAGTAGTAGCAATGCTTGCTTCTATTAAACATGCCAGGCTTTCTGATGTCAAGTACTTGATCAACTACTTTCCAGTGATCTTACCACTTCAAGAGGGGCAAGATAAGGATTCTGTATTCCGCTCTGAATGACATTCAGCTAGAGTATAGTTGCCTTCAGTATGAAGACTTACACATTCAAGTAACTTCGGAGCAGCAGACTGATGAGCAATGGTGGATGGTTTCCACTTAACAAGAAATGCATGGTGGCTTGAAGTATAGCACACTTTCGAAATTGGTGTTGGTGGTCCCAAAACTCCTTCATGGTAACGGTGTGTGTGAAAGAGTCTTCAGCAAAGTAAAAAAGAAGCGTACACCCAGTTTCGTAAATCCGTGCCACAAAAAAGAAGAGCAGTTGCTTGTAGCAAATTGTGCCCAGCCTCATATCAAAACCTATTCAGGAGACTGTTCCTGATGTTCTTCCCAATATGAAGTGTGCTAGAAGTGAGGACGAGTACAACCATTTATATGAGATGCTGAAGAAATGATCACCACTGATCGTGTTCAATGACATCGAGATTCTGCGCAACACATTGCATGTGCTGCCGAGGGACATCAAGTCTTCGTGTCTCACAAGAGAAGCGAATCTCCACCTCCGTTCTGAGCTCATTGGCAACACACTGGAGATTCCTTCAGCGGTTTGATGACAACCCTGTCATGGATATCCTGGCTGCCAGTGTTATCTCAATGACTGAACATGAAGATGCTTGAGCGAAGGGAGGTCGTGCAGGGACATGGGAGGCCCCATGCTGCAAACAGTTCTTTCACAAATTTTTTTTTTTTTCCCTTTCTCCAAGAAGCTATCATGAAGCAACCTGTGCCACCAAGACAAACAAAGACCTTGCAGAACGCCGGGTTGCGAGTAAGCAGTTCCTGCAATCTGCTCTGCACACAGGTACACTTCACACGCTTCAAGCGTTTTGCTGTGAGGTCAGCACGGAGAAAGATAGCATATCAATGCCTATTCAGGAAACTGTTTTTGATATTCATCACAATATGATGTATGCTAAAAGTGAGGTTGAGAACAAGCATTTATAAAGACACTAAAGAAGTCATCATCGCCAGTCCTACCGAATTACTTCGAGCTTCTGCGCAACACACTGCGACTGTTGCCAAGAGATGTCAAGTTGCTTTTATCACAATGCGAGCAATGCACTTCCATCATATTTTGAGCTTTGTGGCAACACAAACTGGCCATGACGGATAGATTATGAGAATTGAGTGGGCATGTGACCATTTCACGAACTCAACGAAAAATCGTACAGTGAAATTCAACAGGAAGCAAAAAATCATTGCGGAATATGCTCGTTAAAGAAGTACTTGATAACGCGAACTGCGCGCTTGGTTTCTTTGTCAAATTTTTTATGTTCTATCGAGGCAGACTTCAAATTGGGTAGTAACATGTGTGTGCGTGTTTGCTGCAGGCTGACGGTGGTGGATTGTTTTACTATTCACTTGCTTTGTCCTAGATATGTACTTCTACGGCTTCCACTGTTTAACTCGCACTTACAGTAGATATAGTACGTGTCTCTGCAATCGTGTATGTGTCACTACAATCTGTGGCACGTCAGCAAGTACAGAACAATTTTGGTGCGGCGGAGTGCGTCTTCCCTCTCAATGGCTTTCGTTGAAGCTTGTGCACACAGCAAGCCGAGTGTTTCTGATCTGTTCCATCAGACTTAAAACTTAAGACTCTACACCACGCTCACTAGATCCAAATTGGAATACTCTTTTTCTATTTGGGACCTATCTAGCTCCGCATTATGTTCAGCTCTTGAATCTGTTCAGAACCGTGCCGTTCGTTTTGTGCTTTGCAATTACTGCCGCTATGCCAGCGTATCTTCATTGAAAGCTACTTTAGGTCTAGCAACACTTAAGTCACGCCGTCAGTACTTCCGCTTTGTGGGAATTGAGGCTAGCCCGCTGCCTTTGCGCAGGCTTTGCCGCCTTTTCTGCCGTTCTCATGTCCCGACATGTCTGCCCTCCTTTGCTGTCTACCGTGGTGGGAGAGCGGAGTGACATTTAACTCCCTCACCCGGAAGCGGATGTTGACTGTGGCGCCGCGCGCGAGGACTCCCGAGTGGTTTTCGCGCGCTGCGTCGGGAGCGGCCAGATACTCTCCGGGACAGCAAACGGTGAGCCACGCAATCTTTTCCGTCCGTCGACTCCCGTCGCTCGGGGGCTCGTCGGACTTGGCTGACGGCGCCTCGCACCCTAAGCGAACGCTCACCTTTTGTTGCCCCGCTGCGTACGCACGGCCGAGGGGTGGTACGGTGTCCTAGTGCGAGGCCTAGCTACGCCGACCCGTCTCCCTCCGAAGCCAACACGAGCGCCTTTGCCCTCGCTCCAGCCACCGGGCCTTGGTCCCGGTGTCTCCGTGGATCACCTTTACCGCGGAGACGTGCTCGTGGCACCCTGTGTAGTACTTTGTGCCCGTGGCGTGGATAAGCCTATTTGCTTTCCCGCCGCGCCTTTTTGCAACAGGCTGTACTGCGTTTGGTGTTGGCATAATAAAGTGTTGCGACTTTGAGCAGTATCGTGTTCTCGCCACGGCGACGGTTAACGCGTGCCCTGCAGACTCGCTAAGACCGGACCCACGCTGGATGGCCGTACTCCTTCGGAATACGTGTACACCACACTGGCGCCCAACGTGGGGCCTGAACCCACGACCCTGAGATTAAGAGTCTCATGCTCTACCGACTGAGCTAGCCGGTACGCGCTGTGAGTAGAGTTTGATCGCCGACAGATCGGGGGGCGGGTTGGTCACCACGGCTGCCAGTCTGCGCGCCAGCAGTGCGGCCTCTCAGTGTGGAATCGACGACCCTGGCCACAAGTGGTGATTTTTCCGTTCCGCCTTCCAGCATGTCTACGGTTCTGGCGAAGTCAAGATCGCCTACCCGCCGGCAGGAGGCGAGGATGGCAGGGACGCGGTGGGCGCGCAACCACCCGAGTCCGCGGCCCCGGCGCCTCTATGCGTGAAGAAGGCAAGTACGAAGCGTGGCCACTTGGACGTGGCAGGAACACCAAGATGCGCCCAGTTGCTTTATGAGCGATTTGCCGTGGAAGGCTCAGCAGCGAGTGCGACGTGAGGCTGCCCTTGATAAGGTGCCGTTGCCATTCCGCGGCCACACCATCACAGAGCGCGACGTGCATTGCGCGAGGATGCCCGGCTGCCAGACCCACCTGGGGTGCGTGTGTGCTCATTGTGCGGGGTCAACGTATACGCGAACAGCCATTTTCGGGGAAGCCTCCACGCGGGAAGAGCCCAGGCGGCGCGAGCCTCCAGGTGTAGCAAGTCGACGCCGCCCTCGTCCGTGCCACCCACGGCGCTCCCCGACGAAGACCTGGCTGCTCTCTGCCGGGAAAGAATGCGCGAAAACCCAGGCTTCGCGGCCCTCGTTGGCCCAGGGATTCTGTCGGCTGACGCATCTGCGCCGAACGATAACGGCAACGGCGACACCAGCGCAGGACTTCCTCGTCAGTTTTGATGAAGACTTTATTTGACTTTGTGTGTGTGTGTGTGTGTTTTTTTTCCTCGTGTTACCCGTGTTCGTTCATGTATTCTTGTACTTTCGCTACTCAGTTTTTTTCCCCCTTCCTTTCATGAACATAAAGCTCATGTTGTACCTTTAAAGCGTTTTCATTGTAGTTTGTGCTGTAGCAACTGGGTCGGAAGAGGCCACTGTCTTGCTCATAGCGGTGTCATTTTTTTTAACTGCATGAGTAACGCCCGGCTGCCTTTTGCAGACCGGTAAAGGGCAAATTTAGGAGAGGGAGATGTAGGAATTGAGGCTAGCCCGCTGCCTTTGCGCGGGCTTTGCCGCCTTTTCTGCCGTTCTCATGTCCCGACATGTCTGCCCTCCTTTGCTGTTTGCCGTGGTGGGAGAGTGGAGTGACGTTTAACTCCCTCACCCGGAAGCGGATGTTGACTGGGGCGCCGCGCGCGAGGACTCCCGAGTGGTTTTCGCGCGCTGCGTCGGGAGTGGCCAGATACTCTCCGGGACAGCAAACGGTGAGCCACGCAATCTTTTCTGTCCGTCGACTCCCGTCGCTCGGGGGCTCGTCGGACTTCGCTGACGGCGCCTCGCGCCCTAAGCGAACGCTCACCTTTTGTTGCCCCGCTGCGTACGCACGGCCGAGGGGTGGTACGGTGTCCTAGTGCGAGGCCTAGCTGCGCCGACCCGTCTCCCTCCGAAGCCAACGCGAGCGCCTTTGCCCTCGCTCGAGCAACCGGGCCTTGGTCCCGGTGTCTCCGTGGATCACCTTTATCGCGGAGACGTGCTCGTGGCACCCTGTGTAGTACTTTGTGCCCGTGGCGTGGATAAGCCTATTTGCTTTCCCGCCGCGCCCTTTTGCAACGGGCTGTACTGCGTTTGGTGTTGCCACAATAAAGTGTTGCGACTTTGAGCAGTATCGTGTTCTCGCTACAACGACGGTTAACGCGTGCCCTGCGGCTCACTAAGACTGGACCCACTCTGGTGGCCGTACTCCTTCGGCATACGTGTACACCACAGCTTGAACACTTTTATTGGAATTTTTTACGATAACCCAACACACAAAAATGATCTTTTCCTTCCCTCGAACTACGTATCTCCACAGTTGGATCATAACATTAAAGTCAACGTTCCTTTATGCCGCACTAACACTTGTTATGCTTCGTTTCTGCCACAAACAAGCAGTGGCTGGAACCACCTTCCTGCCTCCGTCGCTGTGATAAAAAAAACCTGCCACTTTCAAAGCTTCAATTAATAATAACATATTGTTTAACCACTCCTCTCTGTAATGCCTTTGGGCCCCGAGAGTATGAAAACAAATAAATAAATAAATAGGTATACTCCGCTGGAAGACTTCGTGTAATTTTTTTCCTTAGTGCACTCTACAAAGAAGGAGGTCATACACAAGGCAGCAATAATGCTGTAGAAAAAGCAGAGGAGTGCGCGTGACCGCTTGCCCCCTATGGCGGACGCTTTATAGACTATGACCACGCCGATTCCATCTGCGACGGCGAAATACATGTACGCACCTCCTGACAGCACACGTGATTTATCGACTCAGGCCGCGCGCATGTAGACACTGATGTAATCGGTGCTAGTGAAGTGTGCGACACGTGTGCTTGTTAGACGAACACGCTTGAGGGTCTTTCATCGGTGTTGGCGACAGCAAGAGTTGAGCGCTTTACAAAGGCAAGCGGTGCGGCAACGGCACCAGCGTTAGACGAGACCCCTCCTTACTTGGCAATAAATACGGAGTGCATGAACTCGCTCCTTTGACATATGCGTTGCGAGACTTGTCAGTGGCAAGTACGAGTAGCGAGGGGCAATCACGACCACAACCTTGCAGTGAAACCGATTATCGCGCGTAACAACTGCAGAGGAATCGGGGCCGAACGAACTCGCCTTAAACTGAGGCAAGAAGTCATGCAACTCATTTGAAATCAACATCCTGGCTATGCAAGCTATGATTTCAACTGAAAACAGCCAGGCAGCGATGAATGACGCATTCGCGGCAATGGGATTGCTCCGTCGTGGCATGCACCACAATATTTTTCAGCGGCATTCGGAGCAGAGTTGGGCACCTGCAGCGACACAAGTGACCCAAGTGGCTATGAACCAGTATACTGGGAATGTGGCCTCGTTGCAAGAGGATGTATGTTTCGGACATTGAGGAAACATCGCAGTCTCCCATGACGATACCTGGATGACCCGCTACTACTTCTCACACACAGGTGTTGGTGCAGTTATAGAGCTCTTCACTAGCTACGTGCCCTTAAACGTCTGTTTAGGGTGTGAAGTTGTAACAAAGTTCAACTCTGCCGGCTATGTTCAGTAGAAGGCGACACACTATCATCAGAATACTGACAGCAAAGCTGGTCACACGGAAGTGAAAGCTGCGATCGTTTCTCAAGGGTCACATTGATAGACATAGACTGAGATACCCAACTATTTCGTCCGATAGTGAGAGTCGTACATTTGGTGCCATCAAGGAAGCAAAAGTGTATGGCTTCATCGACATTGAGAAGGAGGACTGCGTTAACCGTGCCCGAAAGCGCATGGGGACAGCACCAAGGAAAAAAGTGAAGGCTTGGTGGGAGAGGCCGGCTGACAAATGAGCTCATCACTAGACTCAGTATATTACAGGTGGGCACTAAGATCCAATGATGGTGATGAGGACGCCATGCAAAAGGCTGCAATGGCAAAATCTATAAGTATGTTACATCCACTGACATATGTTCGAATCATAGTCTGTGCCCAGCTGGTGCGGATTCGTTCACAATGCTGCAAAAGCAAAAAGTGACCCAGAACCCCAGCACGGCTACAACTTGCCCGAGGAAGTTGCCGAAGGAGTGCCGCGAGTACATACCAGACTTTCTGAAACGGCCCTGGCTTCTAAGATGCCAGCTAGCGATGACGAAATTCTAATGAGAGCCTTCACTCCGTAATTTGGTTCCAAAGAAACAGCATTCTCTTTTTTGCCGTGCAGGCTGCTGTTGCTATAGCTGCACAATGCCTAGGCATTATAAACCTAAATGCATTTGATGCAATTCTAAAGCAGCTGGACATCAACATGTCCAGCAGTGCATATTTTAGAGCAAGAGAGAATGACTATCGTCAAAATGCCAGCTCGAATAAAAAAAAAAAAGAAGCACCTCAGAGTGTGTGGAAGTTTCCAAAAAAAAAAAAAAGGTATAAGGATGAGATGCATCCAGATTATGACCCTGGTGCATTTTATTCAAGCATTTAATTGGTATTTTTCCAATTAAAATATTTCAAAATGGTTTTCCTTGTTTTCTCAAAATAGCAATTTTGACAAATTTGCCTCAGTGGAGGCAAATTAGCTTCTATTGCATTTGAGCTATCAGCATAACTATTATTTTTTCTGGCAGAGAGATAAATGCATGCATTAAGCAACTTATTTATTTATTCGGTACCTGCATCGCCTTTGCAAGCATCACAGCAGGGGGGTATATACATCACTGAGTCGATTAACATTCATTTCTACACACAAAGCGAGGTAAAAGTCATCATGACATTAAATTTTTGCAATACTTGTTGCAAGAGCATTCCACTCGCTCATGCTCCTACATTTCACAAAATTTTTTAAATTGGTCATATGTATGGCATGCGACAATAGCTTTTTTCTCTGAATATTGATGACTTCGAACTCTTGTTAAAATTGAGCTTGCAAATTGATTTGTAGCATCATGCGAGTCTTCATCCTACATAGTTTCAATAGGGTAACCACCATCTTAAAGGTTCCTTGCTTAGATGCTAATTTTGCTCCAAAACAAAGGACCCAGCTTATGCAATAATAGAAGAGTACATTGAAAAATTATTAGCCCTATCACAAAAGCAATTACACTTTTAGAATCTGCACATTAAAATACACAATCTATGAGAATTTCATTCATATATATTCACGAATAAAAAAGCTGCTTCTCAAGTGCAGCTTCCCTCTTAAGGGTCTTGAAGTTGGTCATAAAGTTTTAGTTTAGCGCGCGCAACCGCCTAGCGCCCAGCATAAAAACGATTCATGCAAAGGGATAAGTTCCCACCTTGTAATGCTGTAAAAGTTGCGAATGCCAGCCTCGATTTAAGGCCGTGAGTGAGCAGGAACACCATAAGGACAAATTAACACGCGAAATCGCTGAGGCGTATCATATCAGGAAACTTGGTGACGAATGCGCGAGTCAGTATTCGGCGTCTTTAAATGAAAAACAAGGCACACTTTTGGATAGCGGAGAGCTCTTTTATCATTGTGCTTTCATTTTTATTGGACACTACCTAGAACTATGTCACGCTTGCTTCTGGAAAAATTTACCTGTGTGTATGTACAACCTATGTGCTACAAAAAATAAAGTGAGTTGGTAGTCAGCTCTCTTGTTGTCCCTGTTTGCCTTTTGTTCCTCGCCTTCCGTACGCTATTCTTTCAGCACTTTCGTGCTTACGCTGCAACCCCTATTGACATGGAATTCAACCAACTAGCCCAAATAGCCATTCTTCAACGAATAGCCTAAAGTTTTGATTTTAGATGCAGTATGCAGAACTAACAAACACAGGATACCTTTGTTTGTATTCATATTTAATGATAGAGCAGGTGCCGAACATGTTGTCGCACATGCGTTTGTTGCATCTGAACAACAGCGGGTCTTGACTAAGCTTCTTTAAAAATTTGTCCATAAAAATTCAAATTTGTCCATAAATATTTATTTCAGAACACTCCACATTGGATGTCGCTCATCCACGCAAGCTCCGCACTCCACCGAGGGACGTCATCAGGCGACTTTGAGCCAAAGTGTCCAAGTATAGAAAGACAATACCAAGGCTGCGGAAAATGCAACGCAAGGCACCTGCGACCCTCTCAGAAGCTCTGGAGTGCATTCGGAACTATGTAACAAATGAGGTATTTCAACCTATTAGCTGTCATGCCAAAATGCACTCTAAGGGCAAAGAACAAAGGTTTCCGTTGTGGCTAAAAAATTCGCCTTGTACTTGCAGTTTCGGAGCCTGCGAGCCTACCGCCTTTTGTCCTCGTATTTGACACTGCCCTCGCAGCGCTCCTTGAGACGTTGGCTGAGCAACGTTAAAATGAGCACCGGTATTATTCCTGGAATACTTCCCTCCCTACGTTCCAAAGCAGTCATGGAACGATCGTGATCGGGTATGCTTCCTAATTTTTGATGAAGTAATGATAAAAAAATTTTGCATATGATGTGACAACTGATGCAGTCCAGGGATTTACAGATGATGGAAGGGAAAGGACATCATCAATAGCGGACAGGGCACTGATTTTTCCTTCTGTCTGAAATTTCTAGAAAGTGGGTTCAGCCAATTGTCTACACATTCGAGCATGCGTCTACTACTTTCTCTGCTACTCGCTGCCTGCTTTTAATTCTTATTGAAGAGCCTAAACAAATCGGCATTACAGTGAAGGCCGTTATTTGTGACCAGAGCTCTAATAACATCAGCCTCGCCAACACATTGGGCATGTCGATTGCTACTCCGTTCGTTTTTGAGAATAACGAGCAAGTTTATTTTATATTCGATTTCCCACACCTCATTGAAACTACCCGCAACAATTTACAAGCACACAGGCTCCACATTAGAAACGAAATGTCAGATTGGTAATACATCATGAAGCTCTATCAGTCAACACATGAGCTGAGGCTGCGGCTGGTCCCAAAACTCGCAGACCGACACGTATTTCAGTAGCCATTCAGCGCAATGAAAGTAAGCAGGGCAGTGCAAGTTCTCAGTGCTTCTGTTTCTATCGCTTTAATTGCTATGGTGTATGCCAAAGAGCTCCTTCCAGAGGCCATGGCAACAGCTAACTTTTCTGAGCGCATGGACAACCCATCGACTGCTTAAACAGCTCACGCGTGAAAAAGACTAAGCAGAAAATGCGGCACGCAATCCGTAAAGGCCAAGTTGAGTTGACCAAGTGTTTGTGTCACAAACGACTCCAATTTTCGGAGCATCCGCGGGCCCCACCTACCAAGGAAGGGCGCTTTAGTGTTGGGGGACGACATCCGGCGACTATAACGACCCAGCGTGGCGCCGGCTCGTCTTCCCTGCACCGGTACCGGAAGGGGCCCCGGCAGATTTAAACAAGGAAAATTACTCCCAGATGAGAAGGGAGCACGTGTACGCCCCTGAGGCGGTTTGAACTGCATCGGAAGGTCAGTTGACGTACAGCCAGCAACAAGTGCGGTCGTCGGTGTCGCGAGTCTCGCGTAGGCGGCGAGCATGGAGTGACCCGCGCAACGTATTGGACGGCTGCAATTCTGGGCACCCTCGTCGTCTACCAAGCCGGCGAGACCTTCAGCGGCACCCGTCAACTCCCCTATGTGCACCAAGAGCTGACCTGGTCCGTATGGAACTTTTAGTGTGGCTTTTTTTTAAATCGTTAATTTATTATAACCAGCTTTTTTTTTAAATATGTGTAGTTGTGCGCGCTGTGTCACACGTAAAAATTCAAAAGCGCTACCATAATCTTTTCCATGCAACTTTTCTTGTATCTCCTTTGATTTCCATCATGTTGTTCTTTTTATTAATATTCTGCGTATTTGTTTTGGTCTGTACCTCTTGTAGTGTTCTTTTAGAGCATAGTTTGTTACATAGCCGTTCTTTCTCATCGCGTATCAGTTTTCTTCCTCTGTTATTTTTGTTAACGCCTGCATTTGCCCTTGTTTCAATTAAATGCTAGTTCATTTTGCATACAGTCTCCGTGTCTGCTTATGAGTGCGCCAGTCAGGCCCACACATCACCACACGTGCGACCCCGCACGGGTCGACCAACCCGCAAATAAATTCTAAATGTGCCACTTCGAGGCCTTTTAGGCGTCGCAGGCCGAAGCGTAAAGTGGAAGCCTGCGAGTCTGCCGCACGTCGATGTTGGATCGGCGGGGCCTCACCCGAAGTGTGTGACATTATCTGGCGTCCGCGCGACAGGACTGGCCGACCACGTGGTGGTGTCTGAGAGACTGACGTAGCTCTGAGCGTGATATGTAGACGTCCTTTTATTGTTTTGTTGGTAGACAACTGTTTTAACAATGGACGGCACGGGGTTTGATAAGCTGATTGAACAGGGCAGGGGTTTTGGCTTTGAGGGCAGAGAATTGTGTGATTTCGTGGAAAGAGAGCGCACTAAGCGTAAAGAGGAGCGTGATGCGGAACACGCATATTTCAGACAACTCGCGGAATTCGAGATGGAGCAAGAAAGGGAAAAATCCCGGCTCTGAATTCAGAAGGAGAAAGAGCGCCTGGGACTGTGTGCGACGGAGTCGGGTCTCAGCTTAGCCGCTAGAACGCCCAGTAGCGTGACCGACCTTGTCCTGAACAAGCAGTCTTAGCAAGATCATGTGCAGCTACTGCGCCAGAAAATCGAAAGTAGACGACGCATGCTTGAGACCTGGGATGCAAGGCACAAAAGGGGCAAAGAGACCGTAGATGCCAAACCGCTGAGAGCCGGGCAAAAATTTTGTACTGTTCAGGCGGACATCAGGTTCGCGAGTGAACCTACTGAGTTAGCTGCTGAAAGTCCCGTTGTGGCCACAAAGGCCACTGAAGGCCGCAGTGATGGCGACGAGGCGCTGTGCCTGGAAAGTCTTGTC